GTGTGGAGAGGGGTGCTAGGGGTTTTTTTTAGGGTCCTTTGGATTATGGCAAGGAAAGATTCTGATGCCCTGATAGCGGGAGTATCTTTCAATGAAAGCAAAACAAACAGTTCATTAATTATTGTAGCACAGTAAAACTGTAGCTGTAACTGCAGAATCAATGTTGGATATTATATATGTAATTTAAAACAAAACCTAAATTGGGTTTTGAAGGTCACAAAAATATAAATATACAATATTCAATCAAGTAGAAAATAAAAGGTTAACCACCTAATTAATGAAGGCATTATTTTTCCTGTAAGGATGTCTTATTTCTTTTTAGGTTTTTGCTTTGATCTCCAACCAGCCTTATTTGCTTGTTGTTCGGAACTTTTCAGTGGATACTGATTTGCTGAAAAGCAGATTTATGTTATTCCTTTTTCCTGAACATTATTTTATTATCTATATATTCCATAGTTTTAGCTCAAAGTTAGCTACCACTTAAACAATGAAAAAAAAAGCAAAGGAAATTGTTGGCAGTGCTAAGGCTTTGAAAGGTAAGAGCTTTGTATCTTTTTATGTAATTACTTCCTGTATTATGCAAATCAATTGCATTTTTACTTAGTTGGATTAAACTAGGGCCTATAGGGCATAAATTGGGTCAAAGAAAGGGAAATAAAATTACAGTATCAGTCATGTCCCTATTTCTCAGGAGGTTTGTACAGTTTTTTTAAAAATGTTTCATTTGAAATACATGTACTTCTCCAGTGAGACAAAAATCTTTTTTGTATACTATTCCCCTCTGATAGCTTCACATTTCAAATACTCTGAAACTAGTAAAGGAAACTACAAAAATCTATTGGCCCTGTGACCATGTCTTCTTGGAGTTTAGCTGTAATTGTGTTTTTGCATTTAAAGAGGGCTACAGTTCTTAGGTTTACCCCAAGATGGAGACCTAACAGTAGGGACCACAAAACCCAGAAATAAAACTCCATCCATAATACTTGTTGTCAGTCACGTTCCTATTTGGAGGGGTGTGGTTTATAATTCTAAAATTTTTTTAGAGTTAAAAGCAGAGAGATTTTAGTGTGATCTTGTACCCAGCTGAGGAATCTCTTCCACAAAACCACTAATAATTCAATAATGCAATGAACTAGTACCTGAAGAAGCAAAATTCCTCCTATCAGGGAAATGTTAATGCACCAGGAGACCTTTTTAGTGGGTTCAAATTGTTACAAGATGAAAAATAATAGTAGTAACAATAATAAACAGCTGATAATTCTGAGCACTTACTGTATGGCAGACATGGTGCTAATTGTTGGGAAACTGTTATTATTCATCCCATATTAGAGATGAGGGAAAAAAAAAAAAAAAGAGATGAGGAAATTCTCTGGGTTCTCCAAGGTCATGTGGTTAGACAGTAGGAAAGCTGGATTCCGGCCCAAGTGCTAGAAACCAGAGCCTCTGATCTTAACCATCCTAGTGCATGCTTTCCTACTGAGTCCAAATCAGCCTTCTTAAATCCCCAGCCAATTAGTCTAAATTCTCCCTTTCTGGCCAACCAGAACATGTTCATACCTTTTCCCCATTCATTGAGGTAACAAAAAGAATATTAATCGAGCACCTCCTAGATGTTACTGTCCTCCAGTTTATAATACAGCAATCAAAAAAGGAAGGAAGTCTCTGCTTTCATGGTGTTAACACTCTCTCTTAAATGGTTTGAAAAGACCTACCAGATACCTAAGGGTTTTCCTTTCTTCAGACCAAATTTTCCTACTTCCTTCAACCATTTATCACAGGACAAAGTTTCAAATTCTTATTAATCCCAGCAGTCTCTCTCTTCTAAACACATTTCCGCTTGCAAACATGTCTTTTAAAATGTAACCATCAGACGTAAACACAGTAATCCACATGCTTTCTGATAGGTCTGTTAAAAGCAAGGCAACAGGCCCAGAATGGAGTCTGTTAGGCTAAGCCCCACACCACCAAACCAAGACTTAAGTGCAGTTTCTGCTCTCCCAGAAATGGAATCTTAAATCAGTCAGTCAGGAATCCCCTGATCAGCACTAGTTACGTCATCTGCCTGACAGACCTCTGCTGTGCCCTAAAGGAAAGCGACCTTGCAATAACCAACCTGCTTTTTTGCTTGTAAAGTAACGTCTTTGTGCCCCTCGGAGCTCCTTTCTGTCTGCTAGATTGGAGGTTGCGCCATTCGATTAAATTTTTGTCCACATAAACTCTTGAAACTGTAATATGCCTCAAGTTTATCTTTTCATGGTTACGGAGACAGAAGAGGGAACCCAAGGAGCCCAGGAGCGACGAGCAACCAGACGCGGGTACCTGTGGAGCCCCTCGAGCTCGCGGCTTCTCGCGGCTTCTCGCGGCCTCTGGAGGTCGGAGTACAGGGATCCCAGCCCTGCAGCTTTTACGTTAAAGCTCTTAGCTTTACTGGCGCACTTCTTTCTCTCAACTCGATCTAGAAACTGGCCGCAGTCCGACTGGGTACGACTTCAAAACCGGACTAAGGGGGCGCCTGGGTGGCTCAGTCGTTAAGCGTCTGCCTTCGGCTCAGGTCATGATCCCAGGGTCCTGGGATCAAGCCCCGCATCTGGCTCCCTGCTCTGCGGGAAGCCTGCTTCTCCCTCTCCC